TCTTGCCTCCCCACCCCCATCATCTGTCATGTGCACTCCAGAAGATTCTCTTTATCACTCACACACTCAAGCATTAAAAAAACATCCACTTTTGTTTAAGATAATCATATTTGCTCTGATTTCCATGCTGCTACTCCTTACTTTGAATCAATTTCAGTTGCAAACTACAAACAAGTAAGAAGTTAAATAAAATAAAGTTTGTTTTATTGGAAACAAATAATGGCTTCTTACTGCCATCTATTGGTAGAAATGCACAATACAGCATTTTATTTCAAAAGAGATAACTACCAAACATAAAAAATATTATTTTTCTATATATTGCTAAAATATTTCTTTATGTTTATTTGATGATTTCTGTATTATATTCAATCCAAAACTTTAAAAAAAGTTTTGAACTAAAATAGAGTATAACTTGATTTTTTGCTCTTTCTATTATGGTACCTTAAATTGTACTATCTACCTTAAAAGTAAGTTTTAATGTTAACAATGTTGGGAGAAGCAGTGATGATAGTTTTGGGATGGAGAGGTTATATGAGGTGGAAGATGTCTTACAATGTCTTCGTCAGATGCACAGGAAATGATGAGAAGAAGAGAGGAAGCTTCTGTGGAGGAGGCCCAGAGCCTTCCCGGTTTGAGGCACAAGCTCTACAGATTCCAGAGGCCACAGTCCAGCATCTCGCACTTAATTTGACCATAGGATGATGATTTTCCCATGAATTTGGCTTCATGCTGTCTTTAGCTCATTACAGATTGAAGACAAACCAAGTATCAATGCAAAGAATGGAAAACATCTAAGCCAATCAGAGACAGGCTGAGCAATCATCTAAAGAAGATCATCTGCATAGAGCACTGTCAGTTCAGTCAATAACACTTCAGCACAAAATATTCCATACAAGTATACATGAATATATCTAATACCAATCCCTCATTTATAATGTGGATCCAAAATGTTTCTTTTTAAAGTAAAAGTTTATCGTTAGGTGTGATTTCAATCCAAATGGTTTCAAAACTTTATTGCTATTCTGCAAATGTAAAAACTAACACAATTGTGCATTAGCTATTTCCATTAAATAAGAATTGTTATTTAAATCACATGCAAATTAGCGTGTTTACACAAAAAGTCATTAAAAAATGTCATTTCACCCTCCGACTACTTCCTGTCATCATGTTATTCTTTTATGCCTTTAGTAACCTCTGGTTGTTGACAACTTGATTTATGTAATGTGAAAAAAAAAAATTATTCCAGTTTTTTTTTTTTTATATATAAATACGTCTATTTCAGTATGGTCCCAGGAAAATCAACACACACAATAGCTTTTTTTATCATAACTGGCATGTTTCAGAAAGAGTATTTATGTAATTACAATTATTGCTGTTTCATGGTCATGGGAATTTATTTTCTGTCACCTCCCTATTCAGGAGCAGGCGCCACTTCTACACCTTGAATTTAAAATAAAATTGTATGTAAAATGGGAAAAACTCTACAAGCATGAGGATGTGCAGTAGATACTAGAGATCAACTGATACAGGTTTTTACAAGTATCGATGCCAATACCTATTATTATGACGTCAGTCTAACCAGTTCCAGACATGTGCTGATTATTACTGACTAGTTTCGAGTCTGGATTTTTGAAGCACATACCATGTTTTTTTTTTCAATTTTCCTGCTTACAAATGACACAGATTACAAATGTTGCATGATTCTCAATTTAGACAAAACAAAATATTTATTGGTTAGCATACATACTGCATGCACTACATCTTATCTTAACTTATGGATTCTGAATGCACTAATGAATTGTGGAGTGCATGCACATATTGGCCGATTTATCTGTCGTCTCTAGTAGGAACTTTTAATAAAAGCACTGCACAGACCACAGCTGGAACTGGTGAAATACCATGAGGTAGTTGAGACAAAAGTGTAGATTTTTGGTTTAAAAATTCACATAATTTTAATTAAAAATACATTTTCTTTTTTAATTGTAGATGTAAGAATTGATTTTCTTATTTGACATGTACCTTTATGTAGGCTATTAAAGTTATGGTTTCAATCTAGGCTCATTCAAACTTGCTGAAGAGGCATGCAGGAGGTAGACGCTCTTTTATAACTGACAGTTGCAGATCAACTCTCATTAGTTTTTCTGGGTCATGTCACAGTAATACTGAGTAAAAATCATATGCAGAACACGTGTTAAACATGAGAAAGATGTATACCAATTATTAACCAAAAAAAGGTGAGTTTGGGGATGATTTGTCCTTTAACTGTGTAAAATCTCCCTTGGTTGTAGAACCTTAATATTTCTCTAAATTGATATTATATTTAATGATGATTAGCTCTGTACTTTCATAAAGGGAGATGTCCCACAGCATGATACTTTCCTATACCAAAAGCAGTTTGGCAGTCATAGAGAGTTTTGCCCACACAATCAACTCTGCTACTTTATAAAATGCTAAAAAAAAAAAAAGATGCAATTGTCTTAAAATTGCATTTCACTATGAAGAAACATTGTTAGAGCAAAGAAGTTATTATAAAAACATTTATTTTTAGTGTGTGGTAGGTGTATCAGAAGAAGCTGTAGCTCAACACAAGAGTGTTAAATACATCTTTATTTCAGGAATAGGAACATATAGCATAAACAACATTAGTAAAATAATAAAGTGACAGTTATATGAAATCCTAATATACAGTAAGTAATAACACAACAAACAAAATACGGTAAAAAGATTTTGAACATCTGAAGAGAGTGCTAAATATAATTCATATATCTTATGTACAGCACAAAATCATTCTTGCTTTTCTTATGTTGGTGAATATTCATTTTGATATAGATAAATTATCCTGTGATTAGCTGAAAGCGGATGTAGGAATTTTTTTAGATCTGTTTATGTGCCAAAAACTCCCTAAACTTAGGTAGAAAATGTTGTGTTTTAATGGACGGTTTTTACCAGCTCTCCAAATTAAAGTCAATGTAATATAGCACAGTTTAGGTGAAGAAACTTGTATGGGAAATGTTTCCAAATTTACAAAAACTCAACAGACAAAGGGATACACTTTAAACTTCAAGCTGGTTTACCTCCTCCTGGCCAATAAGTGGTGGTCTTGTGCTTGCCTGCATATTTTTGCCTAACTGGTTACCTAATGCTAAGCTTTGGTACTTTCTCAGCTGCATCACAGAGCTACTGGGATCTGGCATTGCCTGCTTGGAATAATGCATTTAAATCTATGGCTTTAGTGCAGAACCTTTTTAATGTTAAAGTTGGCAGATAAGCAGAGTAAATACCTACTTTGTGTATTTGGACCCATCACTATTTATAAAGTAAATATTTATAAAGTTTAGATGTTCTTATTAAAAGTAATACATTTATAGTAAGCAATTGAAGAAATTGCTGTAGCTATAACATTGAAATGTAGTTTTCTATGTTTTTGTTTTTTTTAGATGTGAAGAAATTTTGCTAAAGAGAAGCTTAGAGCTGTTACCCAAGATGAATGAGGTATGGTGTATTATAATGTCAAAATAATTTTTGTTTTAACAATATGTCCTTTCATGTTTTACAATACTATCAAACTGTCAAAATTTACTTTTAACAATGAAACAATATTACATTATTGCAATAAAGATACTATCAATATACAACAAAAAATGTAATGTTCTTGCTAGATTTATATATTTTTCTAAATGATTATGTTTTATTTATACATGCAATTATATTGTTACAACAATAAAGTGTTCATATTATAAAATGACACCATTTGTTGTTACAGCATAAAAGATGTTTAACTTTAAATTGATTGATGAAGTTTAGGGGGAGGTCAGTGGTTAAGAAAATGTCTTGCTTTATATTTCATGCTTGGACTGAGATGTAAAGGCCTGTGACAGCTTTTCTTATCGATCAAAAGTCACACAGTAAGCTCAAAGGATAAAACTGCACCACCTGGACAGCATTTCAGTGAGAAATATCTAAAGCCTATTGAGCAAAGACAAATTTAGTCTACATTATCCCAATTTAAAGTCACATTTTGACTTCTAGCACAACCTAAAGCCTTTTGATTTTGAATTATTCCAGAGATCTATGGTGTTTTTGAGGTTTACAAGTTTTATCTTCTTAGATGAAATGTTTCGGTCTAACAAAAAAGTGCCAGGAAGCACAGGTTTTAAAAGTAAATGGTGTGTTGAGAAACAGAATAGTGTAACATAAAATATTATATGTGTGGTATTTTTATATTTCTATCTTTTGTGTATACTTACATAAATTCATAGAGTTTTGAAATCAACTTCCATTTATACCTGTACCCATACCTATACTATTTTTTACAAATAAAATTATTTTTATTTATCAAATCAATTACATTTTTTGCTGTTGTTCTTGCACAACTGGTTATTTTTGCACATTGCTGTTGCAGTTGGACCTAAAAAGTATTAACCACATCACAATTTTACTGAAAAATAAACTGCATATTTTTTTCTCTATTATTTTTAGTAACACTAGCTGATGCATACAAATAGGACACTGTAAACAATACTGCCAGAGTTATTATAGGGCATGTGAATGATTGGATCTTGTCACATTTGATTGTGCTAATACGGTACATATTATTGGCAGAAATAGATGGCCCTGAAATTTCTAATTTTGCATAGGGCTCCACTGAGGCTTGGGCTGGCCAAGGTGGTCCACATGTAAAACTCAGAGTCTGATAAGGAAGATAATCAAAAACACAACCGCAACGTAAAAAAAAACTCAATATTTTTTTACCATAAATTTGAAGACATTTAAATTTGTTTTAAATTAGAAAATAGTTTAAAGAGTCTGGAAAATTTTGCCTACACTTTCAGTTTTTTTTTTTTTAAACCTTTATGAAACTAGAATACGGAACATCAAAATATTGATGTCAGAGTTTTGGCTCCCTCCTCTGGAAGTATCCTGTAGTCCAGGCACAAGATTGCAGAAAGAACCTATAAAATCCAGTGTGGAGTGTGTACAAGGTCTTTTTTTGGCTTTTGATCATGTTCATAAGTTAGCCGTAATTATGAAATGAATCCACAGCAGGGATTATGTCCTTGATCCAGGTTCTCTTTATGCTGCAGCTAAGCTCCGCTTTCCATCACTTTTTGTGAGAGCCGATCATGACCTTTGAGACAAAGTTGACGATGGCGCTTGCTGGCTGCTCAGGGTCATGTTCAGCAAACAGATGACATACATTTTCAGTTTCACTCTGAGATTTCCTGGCAACAAATCCAAAAATCCTGGAAAATAAACATACAAGAGGAAAGTAAAAGATTTGCCTAAACTAAAGTTAATCAGAGTATTGTCCCTCAACAACAACTCATTTGGTAAAGCTTAGGTGAAGGTGTCTGTGTAATTCCAAACTATAAATTTTTTTTAGTCATTGCTGCTTTGATCCTGTTGTTCAAAGACCTTAAACCAGAATGACTGGAGTAATGTTTTTTTTTTTTTTTGCCTTAAATACATCTATAACGATACTTACTTACCTACATTCAGTTACTATCACAAAGTTATTTCTAAGCTTTCAGGTCAAGTTAGCAACTGAACTTTGACCTCTGTATTCGTTCAAATGACTTTAGTTATCCTTATTTAAAAATACTAATAATACAGGTCTTGTACATTATAATAAAATTACACCATACAGATCCTGCTAATCACACATAAAAGTGAACAAATATGAAACCTTTCAGAGGAAAGCAGCCTGGTATAGCAACATCATACAAGACATGCTCATCACTGACATTTTATTTAGGAATAAACTTACTTTGCTGTGGAGACGCTGTCTCTTGTCCACCTATTTAGGACAAAAAGCATGTTGAAATCATAAAGGTGGATTACAACTGAATTAATAAGTACATACAAAACTTGTTTTATACTAAGAATACAGCTAAATTGTTGCTTTATTTGAAATGCTTCAAAAGTTGATCAAAAGAAATAAGACTCTCACACTGTATTCAAATCTACTTGTCATAAAACCATTGAGCCCTCAAAATGCATTTGAGTCAGAATAAAAATATGTTATTGCAACATCTGCAAACCAGTCCCATAACAGGTGTTGCTAAGGTTGTTTATTTAAAAGTTAGGCTGGACTGTTATCATCTGTCCTATTAATGTGAATATTCCCATTAATCTAGAGTATTTGACCCATATTAGCATGTTTGCAAACATTGTAAATCATATCAGTGTTCTGTATTTTACTGTTATTGTGCCACACAAAATAAAAGGTCATTATTCATTTCTAATCAAGGAGAAGCATTATATAATGCATATAATTGGACCTTTACAAATGTTTTAGAAAGAAGAGCAATTGAGTTTCCATGAAATATTGCGCTGACTCAACTAATGTAGTTAAAAGTTCTTTTTTTTTCAACTATTTAACTAAAACAAAGGCAGCATTCTAACTTTATTTGTTATAAGTAATTGATGATTAACTTTATGATTTGGTGCAGATTTTAGATATCATCTGAAGTTAAAGGCTGCTGTCAGCCAGCTAACCCAGGACAGCCCAGAACAGGTTCAACTATTGGTAATATTACTCACTTCCTTCCTTGTGGGTCCAGAGAACAGAATATAACCGTGTTTACAGCATAGTGCCTCCTGAAGAACAGCCTGCAGAGTCAAACACAGCAGCACATCAGATTGTGGTCCAATTACCTTCACTTATCTGGGATCACATGCATCCTTTAACAAGTCAACTACTGCTAAAATATCTTAAATTATTCATTATTCTTTCACATTTGATATACTGTACTTTTATTTTATTGTATTTGTTTTACTCTAGTTAAACATTTAAGCTTCTTCACTGCTTTGATAAGAACCTATGTATAAAGAACTTTTTGTAATCTTATTCATAGGTTTAATTATTTCTTCATCATGTCTCTCTATATTATCTTCCTCTATTATTAGCTGAATCCAGTTTAAGTAAATATCTCAGATTTACAATGCAAGTGAAGGGGACAGTCTTTGAAAAAAGCATCTAAAAGCATCTGTAGTAGTGTAAAATGACTTTACAGGAAGAAAGAGGTGAACACAGGCTCTTACTGTAACACGTGTCAGCCTGGTTTGTCTTATTTCAGCTGGGAAAGTTCAAAGAGGCTGCTTCTTCTTCGGCATCACTTTATTACAAGTAATGCAGTGGTATGGTGCTCTTAAGAAACTTGGAATTTTATTTAACGATGATTTTACTGATTTATTGGTATTTACATTCTAATAAGTTGGTAACCAGGTTTGTGTCCGGCCACTTTTGTCCCAGGTACACTTGTTCTATTTTTGGCTCCAACTCTAGCTTTTCCTATTTTTCTTTTAAATCATATCAACTTTACTGAAAACTGTATACATTATGAAATCAAACTGACTGAGCTCTCAGTATATAGGTTTCTTTAAAATGATGTTACAGACATTGGATAAAACGATACTCCTGCTGAGATCTGTGTTGCTGTGTTTATTTGATTTCAATACAGACAAGGATTACCTTATATGATGCAAACTCGTTAACTAGTAGTGTAATAAAAAAAAAAGCTACATGGGAATCTACTGAGGTGGAAGTTTGCTAAACAAACGAACTGAGTCAAATTGCCCTGAATATGATGTCGCTGATGAAGGATACCGTGCTAAAGAAATGTCTAGCAGATTCTGCAACAGTTCTTCCCCACTGCCATCAGACAAACGAACTATTGAACAATCTCTAAATCATGTCACAGACTCTGCATAACACTGATAACACCAAACCAAAAATGCTGCATATTTGCACCATATATATTAATGCTCTGAACTTCCATATCAATGTGTTTTTTTTTTGCGCCATTTTTTCTCTCCCTGTTTACATTTACCGCACTGTTTACATTTGATCCATGCTGCACCTAATGGAATGGAAAGGTTTATTTACTGTATGGAAGGTTGCACTAAGTGAAATTTTATTTTGTTTACACTCTGTGTATACAAAATGACAATAAAAGTTGTCTAAGTCTAAGTCATACAAAATATATATGAAGAAAACTAATTTAAGGTTTATTTCAGAAAGATTATCAAAGCTTGCTAAGACAGATACAGTACTTGCAGATTGCAAGCATACAAAGCAAAAAAAGGCTATGCTGTAAAGCTGGAGGCATTCTTCTGATCTGATCTTTTGAATATAAATATGTATATATAGAAATGGGGAAAACACAATATAATTAATGTTACAAAAAATATCCAGAAATAAGAACATTTTGGCTTATACATAAAGAAAAATATAAGTATATTAGTAGCAGTCTAATTGCATTTTCAATTAGATACGTGTTTGAATTTATCTTTAATTTTGGCAATTTTTTCTTCAAACTTTTTCCTGTAAGTGATGAAATCCTTACTTTCTCTGGTTGTCTGTAAGTGTGATTCCCTGAGCAGACACTTTAAAGTGGACCACAGTGGAGGGAGGGGGAGGGTCCATGGAGAGTGTCAGTGTGGTTGCCTTCTGGACCGCCTGCTGACCCGTCAAAGACTCCAGCTCCACAGAACCCAGGAACCACACGTTGCACGCTACCACCCAAACACACAATAAGGGGGCATTTCACAACAAACAGCAGTTTATTTAGAAATTTTATTTAATCATTTTATCATATTTAAATGTTTCACCTGCACCCTGTTTGAGAAGTTCAGCTGCTGAGTTTGTTGCTGTCTGTGCCGATGCATCATTCAGCTCCTCTAATGGATCTGTTAGACATAAAACAGCAATAGTGGCAATTAGTCATATTAAATGGTAAATTAAATTACATTTATACCTCACATGAACACAAAATAAACTAAATGAATACAAAAATATTCTACAAGTGCATTTAGAAAACAGAAATTTTACTTCAAAAATACTATCAAAAGGCTGCTAATATTTTTGAGATCTTTAGTTATTTTTATAATGTCAAAATTATAATAAAGATATCAAATGGCAATTGAAGTACATTTTGAACGTTGAATAAAATGGAAAAAAAACTGATTTTGGAAAAACTTTAACTCATATACCAATCTCATGTTTACATTTGATCACCATGTTTAGTTTTTATCACTGCTACACTTTCGAAATGGAAATGTGAGCTGTATTGAACGAAATTTGCTTTGTAACACACTGTGCGTACAAAATGATAATAAAGTTTGTCTAAGTCTAGTTCAAGTCTAAGTGCTAAGAAGAATTATTAGTGATGATTTTTGTTGTTATAAGAATTATGAACAGCCTTTCTGTGTTTAATAGAAGCCTGAATACAAAAAAATAATAAATAGTTTAAGTGCAAATAATTTAAATTAGATGCAAAGCATTGTTTAACGGTCGGAAAATAATCTATGCTTTTTAGTTTTTTGTTTCAAGATATTTCTGTATTAATTTAAAAAGGAAATGATAAAACAAGTTTACATTTTTAAAATTTTAAATAATTATTGATACTGATGATGCTAAAAAATGTAAAACTCTATATTTAGAACAAGTGGTAGCATAATCTATTTACCTCTGTCAGGCAGGATAAGCTTACATGGCAGAGCCAGAGGGGTGATGGAGTGCTGACACACCAGAGCTGTGAGGCTTCCTGTCAAAAGGGGAGACAAATTTGGAGCATTAATTTTCATAAGTACAGCTGCACTTTATTTTTACAGCCAGCAGAGGGAGGTAGAGGAATGATTTGAAAGCTTGGGTTAAACCTCTACCTTATTTTGTTTCAACTGCACTTTTTGAAATGGGTAAAGAAATCTATGAAAAATGATTTTTACCAAAGTAAGGCTCATTGGGGCAGCCTTTAAGACGAACTCCTTTTGGTGTACACTCTATCAAGAAGTGCCTGACCAGCTCACTGGACAGATCTCCTGCTAAAAGAGTTGAGATAAAACAAAACATTTAAGGAGAGAATTAAAAACAAATTACATGGCACATTGTTTGGTCAAATTTGACATATTGAAACTTCATTTTATTTTATTGATCTCACTACTCTGTGAGAGGCTGTGGAAAGTGGACACATGGATTAGAGGAAAGAGATCTATATTTCTAATATACTAAGCCAGTTTTATTCCAAAATCAGCAGGTCTTGAATAGAAGGATGACAATGAAGAGAGATGACATTTTCTGTGCACCTTTTTTACTGTGATGTACCACTGATGGAGGAGGTGTGGCCACCTTCATGGCCAGTCCATACGCCCCGCGAAATGAGTGACTGTCCCTGACAATAAATGAGCCGGGCTCTTTGTCCTTCAGCACTGCAATGGCTGTTCAGCAGGTAAATACAGACAGAAAGCAGAGAAAGGATACAGTTAGAAACACATTCACCCTGAACAAGAAAAAAAAAAAAGAGAGACTTTGCACATAGGTGTATTATACGCTCACTGGTGGCTGTTTGACTTTCTGTTTCAAGGCCAATATTTACCTTGGTCTCTGGAAATGTCGGGTTTGTACCAAAACTTGGACGTGTCCTGAACAAACTTTACAGTGTCCTGTTTACTGCTGGAGTCTGTGGGGCACAAACCAGAGCTCAGTGATAAGAATCAGCATTGTGAGGAGGGGAAACATGAGCAGAAGAGATCAGAGAGGTACAGAAGTCTATTAGCAGGAGTGAATTGTTGTAGTTTTAGCAGGAATTAAAGAAGGTCATAATGAATAAGCGGGGATTTGGCACCATTAGTTAATCTTGCCTGCAAGCTTAAATCTTACGGTATTTGTGAGTTCACTAACAGATAAGAATCCTTGCATGAGAATCTTGTACCAGCTTAAATCTTTCAAGTCCGACCCAAAACAGGTGGCCCAATAGCATTGCAGTATTATGGTTTAAGGAGGAACATATTACTTTGATAACAATAAGAGCTGTGGAGCCCACATATCCTGGCAAGCCAGATTGATAATGCTTGGAGCAGGCATGGTTTTAGCCCAAAATCAAAATAAACATGAAAGCTCATGATGGCGCATGCTTAGCTGCTGTTATTACATCTGTTTTGTTGGAATCCATAATTTCTTCAAAAAGAATGATCCATGTAATAAGTTGAGTAAAGTTAACTGCACATCAGAAGATAACAAAAATGCAAACTCTTTAAGAGTAATATTACCTGCCCCAGGTGACGAAGCTCCACTAAGACCTCTAAATGGATCTGATGTCAGAGAGGATGACAGAGGGATGCTGAGGCTGCTCCCACTGTGTGGGCTGGAAAATCCACTCAGAGAGGGGGACCGTGACCCTACATCTCCAACCTCAGCTGTTCTTCTCTTCTCGGGCAGTAGAGGAGCAATCCCTGCATTTCCCCCAAGATTCAGATTCCCCAGCCCCTCCACGGCCTCTAGCAGACTGTGCTCCAGGCTACCATTGTCCAGTAATAGCAACGAAGACAAGTCTGCACTGTCAGTTCCACTACGGACTCCTAAACTCCCTCCTCGGCTCATCTGAGTCCCCAGCGGAGAACTATGAGCATTGGGAGATCTCAGAGGAAGAGGAGGTGAAGGTTGCGGAGGATATAGCGAGTTCAGGGAGTTTGGAGTGCGGTCGAGCCAAACAGGAGGAGGAGTAGAGCTGGAATTAAAGATTAAGACACACCTTCAGAAGAAATATTCATCAATATATCAATTTGGGAAAATTATTCAAATGAAATGTTTCTGTACTAAATATCCCGAGTATGACAGATGTTTAGGGTAATAATATAGATGTAGAAAACACTTTTAGATAACCCTTGTATGCCACATTTTTTATCCATTATTCTGATTATTATAATTAGCGGGACATCTTTTAAATTAGTGAAGATTCTGATCAAGTAAAAACAACTTGAAATGTTAGGACTTTGTTAGACGAGCCCTCTTTAAACATGACGTATACCCATCTGAGTCAAAAGATTTGTAAATGAAAATCTATCTACGAAACCTGAGGCCCCAAAGGCCAAAAGTTCACAGACAGATCTTAAAAGTAAAGCCTGATGACTCTAAGTTTCTAGTAAAGCTGCAGATAATAATCAGATGCTTGAACCCATTGAGCCATTGAGCCATGTGTCAACAACCTGAACTGCTGTTGAGCCTGGGTGATGAATCCTGTTTATCATCAACATTCATGGGTTTAATTTGTAAGTAGAGGGTAACAAACTTTTATGTATTTGTCTCCTGCTGAGAAAACAAAAAGGTCTGAATAAAAGTTAAAGTAGCTGTAAAAAAAATTAAGTCTTGTTCCTAGTTCACTACTACTTTTAGATATGCAGGAGTACAACTAGCTATTAGTAAGTAATCAAAGCAAAAAGGTCATTGCAGCATCATGTGTGCTATATTTTACTCCCTGGAGAGAACATTGTTGTCATTTAACAAATGCAAATTTTTGCTTATGCAATTAATAGGTGTGTTGCTGGTGGTGTACAAAGATTGTTGTGCATTTGTTAAGAGATGAAAACTGGTTTGGCTTTTCCCACTAAAATGAGCAGGTTCCATGTGCTGCAGTAAAAAAGGATGAGGTTCTAAACCATGTAGTTGTTGATAAAAATGACGATAATATTCAATAAAAGTAAAAATATTTATAGTGCACTTTACATAAGCAAGCCAATGTTGTAGTGCTACAAACAAAAGGAAAAGAAGTTATCCGTGTCTGCTGTTTGACATCATTTCTCATTTTGTAAATCTGCAGACAAAGTAACATTAGGTTATCTTATTGCATCTATTATTGTTTTGAATCATTTTGCAGGTTCAGGCCTGGCAGGACATACAGATGATATCAAGATGCATCTTTGCAAAAAAAAGCTCAAGACACTTGAAAAAGGCGTGCTTCTCAAGCGCTTGGCATGATGAAGATGTGGCTGTTCTGTGGCTTTAGAAAACCTCCAAGAACACTCAGACCTTTTGGGGTAAACTCCAAGAAAACTTTAAAAGTCCTGAGGTCCTAAGATGCCTTAAATAAAATGTAAAACGTATTTGTTTCAAGTTGCTTTTGATTGTTTTATTTAAGCTTTTAACTGCCTGTACCTTCGCAACATCTATAAAGGGGAGTATAACCCTGAGGTTATCAACAGCCACATTCTGAGTGGTTTTCAACCAGTATCTTTTTTTTATCTCCTTACTATCACATTGTATGACAAAAATGTGTCCTAATTGTTTTTTGTTTGTTTTAGAGACATTTACCTGTCTGTGTGTTGGAGGGGACTGCTAGTTGACATTGAGGTCATGGAGCCAAAGATCCTTTGACAGGAGGTGGGAGTGACTGGAACGTCAGATTGGAACAGCTCTCTGTCTTTGGAGCCCCCAGAATGGTTCATGCCATCCAGGAAACTTCTCGATTCTGAGCAAAGAAGAAACAGAAAGTAGTATTAACTTAACACAAACAGAAAACTGTTTTACATACGTTAGTAACCTACCTTTGTTTGAACTTTATTCAGAAACAATAAAAACCTACTTGCCGTGTTTTACAGAACAAAGTTCTACCACATAAGATTACTCAATTTGTGATATTAGCAGTACAGTAAATGTGTTGTTATAATAAACTATAAAAAAATCTACTTTTAAATGTACAACTGAATTCACCAGATAGGGGTCCAAAGCTACACCTTTGCTGGAAGCAGAAATTTAACTAGTGCAATGCTTTCAGGACATACATGCAAACACAACATCCTGAATGTGTCATTCAGCAAACACACAGAAGGGCCTCCTCAAGCTAAAGAACAGGGCCATGCAGCAGCATGAGTCATGGGGAAAACAGTCATTCATTATAAAGACCTTGCTGTGAAGCCCGCTGAGTCTCTCACTTCACTCCCTTGTCCCTCCTCTTTTCTGTTTCACACGCGGCATTACTTTGAGTGGATTTTATAAAGAGACATGATGAATGCAAAGAATGCCATACAAAAAAAAAAAAATGCAAATTACAATGAATCATGTAAAGTAGATCTAAATAGATTATTCTGTAGATAATCAGTTTTCAAGGTTTGGTGTCCTGCAACTTTCCACACACCTGGTTAAATAGTGAGGTCAATAAAGGGGCAAAGCATGCAATGTGTAATGCAGAGTTCCTCAATTTTATTCCTCATGGTTCAGTGTACTGCACCTTTCAGATGTGCCACTCCTTCCACATACCTGAGCTAAATAATCAGGTTATTAGCAGGATTCTGCAGACCTTCACTGCATGCCAAGCAGGTTTTTCAGGCATTTCATTTAGGTGTATGGGAAGCAGGGATGCATCTATATGTTTCTGGGCACCAAACATGGTGGCCTAGAATTGAAGAACCCTGGAGTAGAAGATATTCAGCTGTTTGATTCAAGCTGGTCGAAACAGAGACACATATAAAGATCGCAGGACAATTAAAGGACTGGAGTTTGACCCTTTTATGTCTATTTACCATGTATGGTTCTACTATTTACATTTTGTGGGAGGGGGGTTCATTCAGGAAGGAGCAAAGTGTTCCATATGTTTTATCTATTATAGATTTATTTATCTATTATCTATACTGATTACTCAAACCCCTTTACACCCTTATTAGCATTACATTACATTATATAAACAAGCATTAAAATACTGCATAAAAAAACCATACCATTACCACCACTGTAGTATTCTGAGGAAATATCAGTTACTTACCTGGAACAATCTTATCAAGTTCAAAAACATCTGTTTAATTTATAAAATCAGACATGGTTTAGCACCACCTCCACTATGTGACTTTGTACAGTTCAGATCCAGTGAGATTAGGGTAACCAGAGGGGCAGTGAGGGAAGACTGCATCATCCCCCAGAGAAAAACATCCTTTGGTCAGGCTGTCTTCTCTGTAAGAGCATCTCAGCAATGGAACACAGTGCCAGAAACCATCAGAGACTCTTTGTCATTCTCTTCATTCAAAAAGAATGCAAAAAAAAATGGCTTGTAGAGAGCCGAATTTGTGGGCACTAAGGTTTTCTGTGTGTATTTAAATAATTTTACAATAAATTTTTAATCATTTTACATGAATTTTATTTCTTAACCATAATGTTTTTTATGTAATTGTTATCGTAATTTAATCTTGTGATTTTTATACTTGTGTTTATTTTTAAGGTTGCCTTTTTTTATACCTGGCTGGGGGACTACTGATGAAAATTAGCACTCCTTAGCTAACTCGGGTATATTTACATTGTTTTAATGTTGATTAATGTACACTGTCCCCTTTCAAATAAACAATAAATGTAATGTAAATTAGCCTAATTGTAATCATAATCATTCACACATTATTACACAATTATAGAGATCGGTAGGCATCATGGGGCTGAATAAAATGGCTAGGGTTATCAATATGTGACAAAAGGATATTTTAATCAGACCCACAATTTTTGGGTTGCATATGGACCACTCTTTCTTCTTGTTACAGCAGATGTTTGGATGGAGACTGTAAAACATGGGATGCCTTATTAGTTTTAGGCTAACTGCTAATTTAAGTTGAAAGACAGCAGGAAGGCCAAATAATAATAATAATAAACTGCATCCTCCCTTTTTTATATCCAGTTGGCAGCAAATGTTTGTAACTGAGTTAATGACTAAATATCTCCACTGAAAAAGGCTTGATAGAATGACATTTAAATCAGTTCAAACCTGCTCTCCTTACCCACTCGGAGATGCAAGAGGCACTTGCTTTTAAAATAAGAAATCTCTAACAGTAGCTGACTCGTGTCAGCTGACATCATATCAGTTTTATTTCTGAAACACTGGACTACTATGTCCCTGTGGTGGACTTGCAACCTGTTTAGAGTTTAACCTGCCTTCTGTTCGTAGATATTTTGAGACAGGAACGAACGCACCACTTGATTTTACTGTCAAGCGATAGTTTAAAAAAAAGTTGTGGAATTACTTAATCATTTGAATTGGTTTCAGTACTGTTCATATGAACGTTTTTGAACTTTTAACTATTTTTAAGGGCATTCCTTTATCATGCAAAGAGTGGTAATTATTGTATAGCACAATATCAATAGTTTATTGATGACAAATGGCGCTTTTATTAAAATACTAGGACTTGAAATTAAAAGGTTCACATCAAGTTTACATGAATGTCTTGAGAGATCACATGGCATATAGTTTTAACACAACTTGGAAAGTTGTTTCTGTTGATGCTTAAAGGAAACAAACACAAAACTAAGTGGGAGAGAGTATCAGGATTTTTCAAACATTCCCACAGTCTCTGATACTTTTCTCTCTTGGGATGACTCCTGGAGAGCAGCTGAACTTCATCTCTCTCTGTGTTCTCATGCATCACTTTCTAAAGCTCCAAATCTACGAAACCTGCTGCCTCACTGGTGAACAAATAAATCCCATCATACATCAGCAAGTTGAAAATCTGAAGAGCAAGTGTTTTATGTTTAATTACAACTGATGTACAGAGAAATGAACAAAGCGACGCAAATCTAAAACATGCCAAAGTAGCTAATGCCTACGTTTTTGCTTTATTAAAGGATAAAGCATGCTAGAATTGCAAAATGTCAACTGAACATACAAAATATGTATGGTCACCTTTCATATACAGCAACCTTTTTCAGTAAACAGTAAAAAGGAGCACAACGCTGAACCTCAACTGTAGAGCCACATGAGTAAAAATTTTAAGTTTTATTGAAAAATGAATTGCAGCCAAGAATTACAGTAAGGAAGCTTGTTATGGCACGTTTCTACTCTAATTCATGTACATCGGTGCATGCTGTAATTAAAATATCTAAATTGTTAATGTGACACCTAAATAGCAATGTTTTAAGTCACAATAGAACACAGAGATTAGATGAACTGTTCAATATAAGCCCAGTAGTTTTCAATCAAATAATCCATTCTGGGTGCATTTTGTTGGCTGTGAGGTTGTGTTCTGTATATTTTAATATTTTAGCATTTATATTGCACTCCATTAGTATTTCTTGTTGATTTGTTTAAAAAAATTGTATAGGGATTATGATGTATACTACTAAAGTTCCTGCAACCAGTATACATTAAAAGAAAACTTCCAAAACAGGAAAGCATAATTGAAGGAAAGGAAAATAAAATTCAACAACTAGTATTAAACCTGCCCTGACTGATGCTCTAAAGAAGCTTAAAATCATAAGGGATGAAAGCAGCAAACAGCAGCTGCAGAGAATTGAGTGTGCAGGAGTTAGTCTGTGACCAACTTGTTTCAGAAGGATCATATCTGCTAAAGAGAAGGGATTAAAATACAAAATAATAAACAAAGAATGAAACAGATTAAAATGGGTTCTCTTTTAGTTTGGGTCTCACTTATAGTTAAGGTTATCAATTTGCCCCTATAACAAATAACAGTGTCATTTTTTTGTATTGTTTTTTTTTTTTGCTTTATTTCAAAGAGAACCACTTGGTGGCACTTTGAGGTTATTTTTTAAACAATGAAACAATCTTCACAACCCTCATACAGCATAGCTCTAAAAACAACTCATTGTTTTCCATTTTCCCTAAATAGAACATGAGACCAATTTTTTTCTTTCAGCTAAATAATTTAAGAAAAGCCTACTTGGCTGAAACAAAACACCAATTGTGCTTTTTTTTTATGTGGATTCATATTCCAACCAATAAATAGGAACCCAGGGTTCTGATTAGACTAATAAAATGATCAGTTATGATCGGACAGGGCAGATGATCTGGAGCATACACTCAATTATAAACAGTTTGAGCAGAAGTTGTGAATTGTTGACAAACACTTATGAAATTAGTTAGTTCTTTCAATATATATCGATGCATGCCTTAAGCTTCCTAAGTCTTTCAGGTTATGGTGGCATATTAAAACATACTTTAGTGGACCTTTGATGGGTAAAGAAAGAACAGACTATAATTGAGCAGTGCAAAATGCATTATTTTGTTTATTCCTTAAATAGATTCTAAAGAATTGTATAATTTTCTTTCTACTTTATGCACTTTATGTTATAACATCCATCCATTTTCAGACACGCTTAATCCCAAGTGGGGTCGCAAGAGGTGCTGGTGCCTATCTCCAGTTGTCTAGAGGCAGGGTACACCCTGGAAAGGTCGCCAGTCCATCGCAGGGCAACACAGAGACAAACAGAACAAACAACCATTTACACTCACACCTAAGGGGACTTTAGAGAAGCCTATTAACAGTCATGTTTTTTGGACTGTGGGAGTAAGCCGGAGTACCCAGCGAGAACCCACACATGCTCAGGGAGAACATGTAAACTAAATGCAGATTCTCGGGCAGGGAATCAAAACCAAAACCTTCTTGCTGCAAGGCAGCAGTGCTATCCACTGCGCCACTGAGCAGCCCATGTTATAACATATCAAATGAATTAAAGTCAATAAATACTTTAAGGCAATTTTAT